TTCAGGATCTCATCTAACAGTCTAATCTTTTAGGTTGAATGCTTCCTTAAAATGGTATAGACTTAGCTTAACAAAATTGCTTAGTGTTTTATCTTCATTGCTTTCATTATAATTAATTAAATTTTAGCATAAGATATAAATGGGTCTGTGCTTATCCATGCTTCAAGTTTGAATRTTGTATTAATCTAATCGTGGCCCTTTGGTTTGGTCCATTTGGATTAGAACTCTACGATACCACATCTACTACAACTGGATTTACTAGTCAAGATTCAGCCTATCAAATAAGCTTCAATTTGAATTAAAAAAAAGAGAGGCTTGACAGTGGTGACCGAATGAATAACCAGCCCTACTTAAATACTCATAAATTAATACATGAGCCATTGAGATCCAAAATGGAAACAAGGCTCTAAATCAAAATTTGCAGAGTTGAGTTCAGTAATCAGTTCGGTTTATAGTAATAGATTCCACGGAGGTATTGCTGCTATTTTCCATAGTGTGTATGCTCAGACTTCAGAAATCAGACTTCAGACATGACAAACAATAAATTAAAGGGGCTACAAAATGGAATAGTGGAATGTGTCGGCCACAAACAATAAATGGGTAGAGCAGGAACAACGGTTTTGATCGAATCAAACATATTTATTTCACCATCAAGACATATTAATTTTCAAGTTGCTCTGATGAGTAATGGCAATGCCCCAGTCCCCAATATTACATCAACTCTTTCGTTACTTGTGCATCTGTAGTCAACAGAAACTGAATTTTCTAATTAAAAGTGTTATTTAGGTAGCTAGCTTGGTTTAGTTGTTAATTAATTACTAAAAGATTCGATTGGCATTCAAATTAGGTTTTTGGGCTGGCTAGAGATGGAAATTGCTCAGGTTTCAGGTTTACTATGGATACCGGGGATGGGGTGGAGATGGTATTTGTCCATTCYGCCCTGGCCTCGTCTCCAAATTCTCTCTATATAAAATTATTATATTATATTATGTAATATAATATAGTTCTAAGTAGGTTTTGGAAAGAAAATAAATTTATAATTTGAAATGACTGGAGCAGGGCAGGGCAAATTCAAAGTTTYCATTTCTCAAGAAGATGAAAAAAAGGTGATGTTTGGCATAGATGCCCTTTTTTGAGAAAACGGTGTCACATCAGAGAAAGCGATACTTCAAACGATATCCTCTTGTTTGATACTGTTTTTTTAAAAAATTGTTACTCAACGCTTTGAAAATTGGGAAAGTGTGACATGAAGCAACATCAAATTCAATATTTTCCGAGAAAAYTAATGTTATTTTATAAAAAATATGTCAATGTAACAGCACCGGTTCAAAACCGGTGTTTATATCTCCATATGCCGGACACCATTTTTCCCGCCCCGTTGCCATTCCTAATGGCTGTGGCTGGAATCTGCACTTTGCTCTGGTTCTTCCTACATCCACATTCTTATCCATTTTTCTCAATTATGCTTGAGTCCTTGCTTCCTGCATTGCAATCAAACATCTGTCATTCTGTTTCTGGGAAATAGAGATCTACCTAACAAGGCAACAAGGCTACGTGAAGTGGGTGCCCGGAAATAAATTAAATAAGCCAACCTAGCAAATTAAAAGATGCTTGTCGACGGCGATAAATTGTGTGGACGTGTTGAATGAATCTCACTTCCATTAGAGCTTCAGAAAATTATTCTATCCCATTATATATGTATCCACCCAGCAACGTGTCGTTTACTTTCTTCTCAGCGATTGCACGACTCAGATTCCAAAGCTGGACCTTGGTTGTTTGATCTGTCTCCCATCTCTATCGCCCCCCCCCCCTTCATTAGTTTCTGGCTTTCTTCCTAAAACAAAGAAAATGATTGATAGTATATTATAAGGAGATCTGGGGTTGCAACTGATCAACTTTGGGAAAAAGATAACAGGAAGGAAAATAGTTTACCCAATCAGGAGTCAGAACGAGATCAACCTGAAAAGAAGCAGAATCTACGACGTCATCTGTGTATGATCGCGTCGCTCACTTGCTAGCTCTTATCAATTCA